TGTCAACGTTTTGTAAATATATTATAGATTTAATTAGTATTATCTTATTTTTTTATATAAGGGATGTATTTATATGTATGTAATGTATTAGAAATTGGTTTATTAACTTCAATTATTTTTGCTTCAGCCATTCTTACAAACTCGTTATACTTACACTTAAAGTTTTTTTTCTTCTGTAAAATACTAGTTAAAGATATAAAGCCCACTCACTAAACGTCATCAGCGATATTGTTAAGCAGTTCCGCTTCCTCCTTACAAAGTAATTTAACGTTTTTAGTTAATTTCTATCTAGCTAATTAAATTTCCACAGTAACTCAATGATTTAGTTATTTCATTTGTTCATCTTACTAAGAAGAATTGTTTCAAATATGTTAAACTTTTCAAACTACGCGAAGCATAAAACAGGTACCGAAAAAACTTTTTTTTTATTACAATTAAATTATGTAGCGTTAGTTTTATTGGTTTAATCTTGTTGGACTTTACAGGGCCAGGGGCTGCATTATTTTGGTGGCCTTTTTTATGTGTGACAGCGTAATAATGACTTAAAAATACCGATAGGTCCTCTTGACTATTTCTCGGCCCATAACATTGTGTGTCCCGGGACTATAGCTCTTCTACCCCCCCCCCCCCTCACCTCTTATTTCCAGCACTGGAAATAAGACATAAGTATATAAATAAAAATTATATATAATCTTTGATAAATTGAAGAACATTTGTTTCTTTATTAAACAATCATTATTAATACGTTGTTACTATATACAAAAAATGTCGCTTTTTTTTAAAAAAAAAATTATAAAAGAGCGACGTTTCAAAAATATTTTGAAACTCTAATCGTATTTATTTTGCTTAAAGTTTTGCGTTAAAAGCTATTTTTCTTTTTTTTAACTGTCTCTCATCGGTCCAGTTTATCTTATTGCGCTTTTTTGCTTGTTTTTTAAATGTTCTCAAAACGCCTAAAAAATCTGGCCGGCTTTTCGCAACTAAATATAATTTCCGTGGTCAAATATCGAGTGCGATCGCACCCGCTTCCCAGCCAAGCCTGGGTTACAACCCTACATTAACTCAATAAAAACAAGGTCATGTGCAGAGAAACAAGTTGAGGATTGTAGTACCAGGGACTTGGTGGGGATTGAACATAGAACTTCTCGCTTGTAAGGCAATCGGTTTACCACTACTCCACAAACGTATAGAACTATAATTTAAAAATCTATTACTTTTCACGAAATTACTCATTAACTGTAATTTAAAAAGTTACTTAAAAATATACAAGATTTTTCAAGGTATTAATGACATTATAAGTTATTGTATAAGACTGTAATAGTTCTCAATATTTTTACTACTATAATAGTATTTTTTTCCTCTCCTGCTTTTTTAAATATAAAGTTGCTACTATAACTAGCAAACTTGTGGAACAGATAGTTTTTTTAATATTTAAGTTGGGAATAAAACAGTGGAATTTGGTTTTAGTATAGTTGTTTTAAACTTTTTTGCGCTTTTAACTTTTTTATAGTACTGCTATTCCCATCTCATTGTGACTTTCTGTAAAATATGATAAAAAAGTTCTATTATGCATTTAAAATTCAATTCACTCAATTGACAAGTAGAAGTTCCCGACATTAGAACATGTTCTGTATAAACTACAATTGGCAGCTTGCCATTGCTTGTAGTTTATTTCAAAATCATCTTCATATTCTCCAATAATTACATACAGGTGCGATGAATCGTTTGTTTACCAGAATAATTTTCACACTGTACAAACATGCTTTTAAACCGAGCAAACAGCTTTTGAAAAAAGATCTTTATATGTTGCATCAATAATTGAGGCATCCAATATGGCAATATGGTATTTCGATAAGCACAAATAAAATGTGCAATACTTAAACCTTGCAAAATGCTGCAATTTGATAAAAATAAACTATGAGTAGCTTCTTAAAGTAAATATTTTTGCTCATTGATATTCTTTTAATGTATAATCTTTTCTTATAATATAATCTTTTCTTCCAGGTATTCTTCTATAATATAATCTTTTCTTCCAGGTGTAGTGCAAGAATTTTTTATATCTATGTGTTAGACTATCTTTATACAATATAGAAATAGCAAACTATCCTTTTTCCTAAAAAATCATTCTATCCACATTAGCCTGGTATTTTGTAAATTCAAAGTTATTTTTAATTTGTGATATTGACTAACTTGTTGGTGCCAGCATAAAAAATTGAACAATTGATCTTTTTTTAGAACAGATAATTTTTTTACTAGTTACATTATTTACCATTTCGTGTGCAACTTTTTGTTATCTTTCTGAGAGTATATGTTTTGATAATTTTGAATGTGATTTTTTAGAATAGATTCAAATTTTAAAATTTCAGGAACCCCTGAAGTTTTAAAACAGAAAATAAAGAAGAGTGCGGTCCATAGACAACTTTTATACTAGGATTGGTAAGAAAGGATTCAGTAGTCTTAAAAAAGTTATCTAATACACCATAAGAAGAGAGCTTATGGAGAAGACCAGCATACTAAACTTTATCAAAGGCTTTAGAAATGTTGAGAGCGATAGCCATAACGGAATTGTCCTTATTATAGACACTGTTAAAGATTCTACAGAAGTCTCTGGGGCCTAGTTTTTGAGATGAAATAGAAGATATTGTGACCTGAGAATAGCTTGCTTTAACATTACAAAAAAACCCTTTTACAACAGTTTCTAGCAATAGCAAACAGACATCTGTTTTCTGGAGAATTGTTTTAGCGATAGATGCGGAATATATATATATATATATGTATATATATATATATATATATATATATATATATATATATATATATATATATATATATATATATATATATATATATATATATATATATATATATATATATATATATATACATATATACATATATTATATATATATATATTAGGGCCCTGCGAATTGGAAATTTTTGTTTCGAATCAAATCTCGAATCAAAGCAGGTCTTGATTCACGATTTGAATCACATTTTGAATCGACATTTTGAAGTCTATTTAAGCATTTTTTATTTAATAATACATATTTCAAAATAAAATAAAATAAAAAAATGGTATAATCTCTTTATTGATACTTCTTGCCCTGGTTAACCTTTTTAATGACTGATTAAAAAGATATTTAAGGATAAATAATGTTATTTCGACAGCGCCAAAGCGCAGAATATCTAGAATACCCACAACAAAAACAAAATAAGTAAGGATTCGATTTTTAAAAATTTTCAAATCGAATTTCGAATCATTTTTTTGATTTGATTCGAAATTTTGAAGCTTCACAGGGCCCTTATATATATATATATATATATATATATATATATATATATATATATATATATATATATATATATATATATATATATATATATATATATATATATATATATATATATATATATATATATATATATATTTATATATATTTATATATATATATATATATAATAGTAATAAATTAGTAGAAATCACTTAAAGGGATCTCCAAGTGCCAAGACAAGTTGTGCTCATTCTATAGAAAAACATTAGAAAATAAGTTTAAAACTAATTAAACTTTCTAAAACAAATTATTGAATGAGATATTAACAAAAGCATTTGTTGTTTTGCCATTATACTTCCGGTTATATGGTTAATATTAACGTTATGAATCCGCATAGTTTTTTCCGTTAAAAAAAATCTGGTTTCGATAATAAATGTTTTCGCTCACTGCAGAGTTTTTTAAACTCAGTTAAGTTTTACACAGTCAGATTATGGTTTCCCCTTTATATTTAGTCTGCGGTGATTATAAAAAACATTTGGTGTAGCATGTTTTTGTTTTTAGTTTAACATATCGTTAAGTGCTTGTGTTAAATAAACTAGCATAATAAAAATAGTAATTTAAGTGAAGCAAACTTTAAAATACACAAGATGAATATTTTTCTTAGAAAATTAGTAATGAATTTTATAATATACTTCAATAAGTACAATATAATCCAACATGGTTAAATTTTAAAAGTTAAAAAATCTTTACTTTTTTTAATAAACTGAGAAAGATGTTATAAAAATGATCTTATATATATTTTTAACTTAGCTTATAGTAATTTATATTTCTAATTCAAGATATTGTTTTTAAAATGATCTAATATATTTTTCAGATATATATAAAATTTATATTAAAAACTTTTGTTTAACCGCTAAAGAGGAAACCCATGAAATTTAAGTTTATGAAAAAAACATTTTGTATTGACGTCAAATATATGCGCATTAATCAGACCTGATTTAAAAAATAAAAATATTCAAAGAGCTGGAACTTTCCTTCACCAGAAACAAAATGACGTTAAAATTAAAAAGTTTATTCTTAATATCTCATTCAATAATATGTTTTGGAAAGTTTAAAAGTACTTTTTAACTTATTTTCTAATGTTTATCTATGATATGAACACAACTTGTCTGGGCGCTTTGGGATCCTTTTAAAATTTTTTTGTCATTTAACACTGTGTTTCATCAATAAAAACTCATCAGAAATAAATGATCATATTAATAAAACTTCAATTTTATTAAATTACAGGAAATCATCAGTATTTCAACTGCTGTAAATTTTTACACATATTTGGAGTATGCTGACACTATAATAAAAAGATTTCTTTTGGACTGATTACTTCTGCTTTTTTTTTTTTAAAAAAAAAATTTTTAGGGAGGATTTAAGTTTTGAATGAAAAAAAAATTTGTAATGTGATTTTCTACTAATTTGTAATTGTTCTGTTTTTGTAAGAACATTGAGCACTCTAATTTGTAAAATACATTTTAAAATTGTTTACATACATATATATATATATATATATATATATATATATATATATATATATATATATATATATATATATATATATATATATATATATATATATATATATATATATATATATATATATATATATATATATATATATTTCAAATAAATATTTTTTTTAACTTTTTTAACATGTTTCAATCAATTCTTTTTTTTTAGAGAATTAATAGACTGGTTATTTTGTTGTAAGGTAAGTAGCAAGTAGCAAGTAACGTAAGAGACAAGTTTTAATAGTGCAAGTTTAAAACAATGAAGTATAAATTAATCATTGTTAATAACCTTGTTTTTCTTTTTCTTTTTTCTTTTTTCTTATTATTTTTTATTATAGGAGAAGTTTAGTGTGAAACATTCACTTGATATTTTCCCCCAAAAGTCACCTGATCAAATAACTGACAAACAAGTTGTAAGTTCTCAGAAAGACTTTTCAGTATTTTCATTATGGGGAAAATCGATTTCAGAAGATCCTAATGTAACAATATTTGATGACATAAAATACTTATTTAAAAATGATACTTTCAAAAGCCACCTGCAGAAAAATTTTTTCAATAATGGTTTGTCTATTTAATTTATACAATAAATATCACAAGTATGTGATTTAAAAAGTAAATGTTGAATATTTTTTGTTAATTATAATTATGTATATTAACTCTTTCAAAGTTTATATTTTAACTTAGAACCTTGTCTATGCAATCTAGTATAGATAAGAAATTAATATAACATGAGAATTCTGGGATCAAGAGGAGTTTTTTATTTTTAACTTCAACATTAAGGTATGATAAGAATGGTATTATAAAAATGAATAAATTTGGTTTTCTCACTTGCACATGTTTGTATTATTGCATTTTCATGCCCCTTCAATATGTTCTTCTGACAAAAATTATGTAATCAAGAAGCCGCTTTTTTTTCACTTTATGAAGAACATACTTTTTTTTCTTAGATAATATTATCACACTTTGAGACTTGTTGTACATACAAACCATTATCCTATCCTTATTAACATTATCCTGAAAATTTCAAACCAATTTAAGTAAGAATAATATTTGAAAACTTTTTCTGGAAGTTTTTAAGTTATTGAGTATACAATCTTTTTTTTAAATTAATATTATTCAATTTATAGCATTTTCAACATTTGTATACTTTAGTACAGACTTGAATATTCTGAAAATCCATTATGAAACCATGTGGAAATCTATTCTAAAATCACCTAATCTTTATATATTTTATGCATCATAGGGTTTCCAATTATCCAGCATTAATGATTATCCGAATATTGAATACTGAAAATTCTAATTATTCTTATATATCTTGATATCTGAATAACAAAAGATCCATTACCACACTAAAAAGATCCATTACCCACACTGGTATTAGCAGAAGTGTTATTAAGTACAATGGCTTCCAAATTTATGATGCTGTTGTATTTTACAAGTATTTTTATTGTCTCAGCTACCATTGTAATTTCTGTTCCATTTTTTAATTCTATGTGTCAAATATTTCTAGAAAAAAGTTCACAAGTTAGACATCCTTTACTATTAATAACAGGTTCAGCAAAATTTTTTATATATGCATAAATGTATTTTGTATCATATATTTTGTATCATTTATTAAATATACTTTATTTTGCTTTTCCACAAAAAGCAAAAAAATTTGAAATTTTTAAAATTTATTACGTTTTTGTATATAAAAAAGCCATTTTTTCAAACATATTTAATTATTTGGTGAGGTGAAAATTTTATTGGTTATCATTGGCTACGCGGAAGCAGGTTTTATTTAATAGTGTGATGGAGTTATTTGATGATGGCCTATAACTACTTAACTAAAATATACTTTTCAATCAATTTATAAAAAAATATTTTGTTTAGGAAATTGGAATTGTATCAGGTCTTTAAAAACATCTGGAGCAAATACCAGATTTCAACAAAAATTAAAGGATTCACAATTGGTTAAAAAATTCTCTGAAGAAATTCAAACAAATGTTGAAAACTTAAATAAAAACAAAATTGATATACAACCTTTCAATTTAACATCAAAAATATTAAATGATAGCAAAACGAGTAAAAGAATGTTGGATGATTATGATGATGATGAAACATCTTTCTTAGAAAAAAAGATTAAAGTTGACACTATTTTATCATCTAGTTATAACAATATGACATCCAAAAGCTCAACTAAAAATGTGGCGTCTATGGCATCTAGTAAAAATGAAACAATGTTGACCTCAAATCAAAATGGCTTGGTTGTAACAGGGAAAAAAATTATGAAATCAATATCAAGTTTTGTGAGTGGACATAAAAAGAACAATGTGTAAATTTATATTATACTATTTTATTTGACTGATTATTGTAGCCATTTATATTATACTAATTTATTTGACTGATGTTAATTGTTGTTAGTAGTTATATCTAACGGATTTGATGGGTTAGTTATACATGTTGTAGTATAGGCAGGTAATTTCGTCATTTATTTGAAGAATATTGTTTTAGAGAAATAGTAGAAGATGAAGATTCTGTTGGATCTAAAGTCGAATGCCCTATGTGTCATATGTTGTTTGATGAAGTTAGCATTAATATACACGCTTTTAACTGCCAAGGTCCAATTCTTACAAGAAAAAGGTATTTATTTTAACTGGCTAAATCTGATTCTTACATGAAAAAAGTAGTTTTTTTAACTGCCTAGGTCCAATTCTTACAATAAAAAAGTACTTATTATTACGAGAAAAGGGTTATTACTACGTCTTTTGTAATTTTTTCAAAACTATGTTTCAATCTAGTTAGTAATAAAGCTGTTTTAAAAAACTTTATACAAAATGTATTATGTATTATTATTTTCCGTGATTATTTATATTTAGTTTAGTTATTTTAAAAAAAAAAACTTTTTTTAATTTTTTTTTTTACTTATTAAGTTTTTCACTTTTATAAATTCTATATTCATTCTTAGTCATAGTCATTTTAAAGTAAATTTAAAATTGTCAATTAAAGTGTTTTTAAAAGTGTTATTTAAAGTGTTTTTACCTAGAGATGCCACGAATATTTGGTAACTGTTTAGTATTCAGTGTATTTGGCAACATTTTATACTATTCGGTATTCGGCAGAATATTGCAAACTATTTGGCCAAATACAGAATACTGAAACATGACAAAAATTGCATTAGAAATAAATTATATTACTATTTATTACTATAATTAATACATTAAAAAAAATAATCAAATTATAAATATATTATATATAAGATTCTAATAATCACCAAAAAATTTTATTCAAAACAAGTTTAATACTTAAAATCTATCAGTGGTAAATTTTGATAAAACAATTTTTTTAGCATTTGTTGATAGCAAACTATTCCGCTCTTCCTCATATATTCTTCATGCTTCTGAAAATAGCCACTCACTATAAACACTAATAACTGGAGATGATAAATGAATCATTAGCAGTGCTACTAGATGTTTCAAAATCTTATTTCAGAGCTTCAAAAAGAATTTTTTGTTTTGCTCTTTGTGTTTTTACTATACCCAAGAAATAAGTTTTAAAGTGCAAGTCAAGTAAAGTTGTTTGTCATTTTTATTATAGTTGAACCGTTATTTCTTCCCTCAGGCGTCATATAATATAATGCAATATTTCATTGGTAACGGATGCTATCCATACTTAATTTTCAAATTCCTTATTCTCGGCTTTAGAAAAAACCGCGCAAAATATAAAAAATAAATAAATAATGAATTTTCTCGATGTATCGTTCTCTATCGTTCTCTAATAAATATTGCATTATATTATATAACGCCCTCAGGCGTTATATAATATAATGCAATATTTCATATTCAGATTAAAGCAGTACAACAAGACAGCTTTTGCTCTAAGTAATCACTTTAATAAATAAAGTGAGGGTTGACCCTGATCAGAGTTAACCCTGATCGCTCTAATAATTGCTCCAATAAATATGTTGAATTTAAGCGTAAGCTTACAGTGTGTGTCTTGTATTAATTAGTGAGCTGGCAGTTTAAATTCTTGACAAATACATATAAGTTTTTTATGTGCAACACTAGTTTAGTTAAAATGGGTAGCGATTCATCTTTTAGCAGCTACTGTGTTATTTCTATTTGAGAATTTAGCAATGCATTGAAAGCTAGTTGTAGTAAATAAATAAAACACTTGACAGAATCATAATCTACATCTCGTACACCTTTTATCATATTGGTTCCACTGTCATGGACAAGATGGATTTTGCTATGTGAAATGTTCCATCTTTGCAATATTATTGAGTTCTTATGCGCTATTAGTACCAGTATGTAAACCAGAAAACGGTTTCATCGCTCACACAGCATGTTCAAAAAAAAAAACTTGAGATATCAAATGCGCAGTAAAACTTTGGTTTGTCTGACATGTTCAAATGTCAGAAATCGTGGATACTGCTGTTGCTTGTGAAGTATTAGCTTTAATTTTAGTGCAAATTCTATTAAATATATTGGGGATAATTTTCTTAGTTATGTAGGTGCGACAAGGTTTTTTTGTAATGCAGTACTGTCTTTTTTCATAAGGTTGTTGAAGTTAACTCGTTTAACTACTGATGACAGTTCATTGTCTAAGGCAACCATTTCTCCAATTAAGTAAGCTTGTTTTATTGATTTTTTAGAGATGTTGCTAGAAACAAAAAACTTAAAAGATTAATTAAAGTACTGAGCAAGATATGATTAAAAAAAATAGTTTGTTTTGTTAAAACACATAATTAGTTATATGTAATAGTTTTACTTGCTTTCCTTCCTTCTCCATTGCGTTAGGTCTTGCTTTTACACAGCAAGCAAACTGCCAGTTTATTGCCTTCCCAACAAATTTCATATTATTTCAAAATAAGTGAATTTTTGTTAAAAGATGCCATTTTTAAAGCTTTTTGCAAACAAAAATTTTAAATAACATAACTTTAGTTAATTATTGTATTTTTTCACAAGCAAAACAGCAATCAAATATGAAGTCTTTTATGTTCACTAAATTGACTTTTCAATTTAAATATTATTTAAAGGATAATTAATTGACAATGTATTTATATGGTTTTTAATAAAATTTTTTAGATCTGTAAATTAAAATAAATTATCGAATTTGTAAATAAATAAATTGAATTTAATAAATTCAATTTGTTTAATTACAAATTGTAGTAACAATTTATATTATAAATTCATTAACAAATAATATTACTGCAAACATTAGTATTAACGCAATTGCTACTAAGTGCTCTAAAGTTTTCACTATAGAATTATTAAAGTTTTCACTATACACTTATTATGTATATATCTTACGTAACGGGTTGTAAGAAATATGATCCACAAGGAACAAAATTTGATGTAACAAAGAGTCAACAAATAACATGCTCAAACACGCAAATTAAGTAAAAAGGCATAATTAATCGTATCGTGATTACAGTTTTCATTTTACTAATACTGGTTGGAAACTCACCTGTGAAGCTTTGTAAGTATTACTGAATATTTGTCTATTCGGCAGAGAGTCATGCAAAATATTCGATATTCTGTATTTGGCAGAATCACTATTTGTGGCATCTCTATTTTTAACTCAACAATTGTCATAAAAGATATACATTTTTATATTTTTAAAACTAAAAATAAAAAATAAAGAACATTCAGAACAAAACAAAATATGAAATGTTTAGACATAGAGTTGTATTAACTTTTTTACAAACAATAACAATACCTGTGTATTGTAATACTGTAATACAATAACAATAAATATTGTATTGCAACTCATTTTAATAAAATAACAATATCTGAAAAAAAAAGATATTGTAATGACCCATTGCAATAACAATAAATATAGTATTATAGTTCATCTTTATAATACAATAACAATTTATTGTTATTGTAATACAAAAAATTATTGTAATGTCAAAATAAATAAATTTTATTAATAGTCCAGTCTCCAAATCATCTGGCCTTGATATAGGGTACAACTTATATATAGTTATTGATTCTATTTTTATTTTATTTACTGAATATCACTTGTCCTCGTTGCAAACTTTAAATAGCTCTATAAAGGTCAGTTTGACCTGTTCCTTATTTACTGCTAGGGACGGACATGTATGCATGATCAATTACTACCATTTTCTCCACTCAGTTATTTGCTTTTACACTAGGCGCCTATCCAGTTGTTTTGATAATTACTCAAATATAACTCTAACTTTGTCTTTTGTTTTCATGAAGCTTTTATATCTGTATGTGTTCCATAAAACTATATTTATAGGTCTAGCTGCAACGTTGCAGAAGAATTTTACTGCTTAAATCAAGAACAGCATTTATTTGGTATTCTAAACTGCCTCATTTTTCCAAATAAACCCTCTACAAAGTTTAACAGTACAGTCTGATAGTTGATGAGTAATCTAAAAATGTAAAAATGATTCAAAATAAAAGTAGTTCACATGCTTCGACAATCTAATATTTAATTACCCAGATCAATGGTTTCCTGATTACATAATGCTGTGAGTTATTACTCATTTGCAGTAAATTGTAATAATAATGAAAAAAATTGCTTTTGCGCGCTTTATGTAGTTAATCAATTAATTTATACGTCGTCATCCATTGAAATATTTTAATATAATATAATACAACCTTCAACTTTTAAAGTCTTCTGTCAACCGTTTCCTTGCTCTATAACTCTGTTTTTTTTTCTCCTAGTAACTCCCAACTTAATAGTGGTTGCTTGCAGCCTTGTTGGAAATGAATGCAAATAAAAAAAAAGGATCAGTTTAGATAAAATTAAAAAATCCAAATTTTGTCTAAAATTTTTATCAAAATTTTTAATTCACATAGTAAATTATTATTTAATTACAAATATATAATAAATTAAATATTTGTATGATTTTGAATGAATATTATTGATGCTAATTCTAAATAAATTATTCTTTAAACAGTTATAATTGAAATACAAATACACCATTAGAGTTATTGTAATTGTTTTTCATCCCAGCAATACAAAAGTTGTTGTAATCATTTTACATCACAGAACAAAAACAATACAATAGTTATTGTAACTGTTCTTCATCACAGCAATACAATTACAATAAATGATGTTACATTTCTGGTGTTTCAATACAATATTATTAAATTGTAATGTTTTTTTGTATTGAATTTGTATAATTACAATTACAACAGTCCAAACCCAAAACAACTAAAAGAAACAGAAAATGTGTGCACTTCAAAACAATATAATCAAACCAAAAAGAAAGCTTACAGCAGTTTTTAGTTTCAACATTTAAGTATTATATTTTTCATTGTTTCTTATATTAAGGCGGTTCATAAAAAACTTTTTTTTGAAAATGTCCCCTCCAAAGTTGTTAATTTACTTCAATGGAGTACACATAGCTATATTCCAAATTTCATCAAAATCGGTTCATATCTTGACCCTCCTCCATTGATTTGAAATTTCTGAATTTGCGCAGCAGGAAAATGGCCCAAAAAACTACAATATTTTTCACTTTATTACAAATTGAACAATAATAAGCAGGAATTTCAATGTTTTCAAAGAACAATAAAAGATGCAGGATATAATTTCATGACTAACATCTTTATTTGATCCACGTTTTTCTCATAGTATGCATTTTAATATCAATATTCTTTCTTTTTCACAGATTATAATGACAGGTTTAACAAAAATATCTACCCGAATTGGCAACAGATCAGCTTGCTTTTGGTCAGCCAACAGAACTGCCTGTAAGCGTACTTCCAACAGAATTAGATATTGCTAGAAGCTTCTTGTATGAGAAACAAAAATGGATGATAGAAACCTCTGGAAAAAAAGAACCTGATAATTCTATTATTGCAGAGATTATTGTGTCACAAGTTGAAAGCGTTTATAAACGTGCATCCTTACCAACAATTAGAAAAGACACGATTAAGGACCGTGTTCTCAAAGTTTATGAAAAGCATCAAAGTATAATCCGAATACCAACTGCCAGAAGGTATAAGAACCCAAAGTGTCTAAATCCCAATGATCTCTCAGACTACTTTAAAAATAAGAAAGTTGAGTTTCGCAAAGAAATTTCTGGTTTGTTTGAAGTTGTTGATAATGAGAATGTTCCCAGGATGGAGAGAGATTTTCTCGAAGATCAGCGATCTATTCGAAAGATGATCATAAGTAGTACAGTGAATAAAAAGGCTACAAGAAAACAACAGCAGAAAGAATCAATTAAGAAAGCCGACGACAGCAGGGGTGTAAAAGAAAGACAACGACGAGAATCGCAGTTTGAAACTGTTGTTTCCGTGAATGTGAAAATTGGCTGGGATGAGGACGAGATCTCCGAGGAAGATAACAGTACTACAAGTCCGGATATTAATACAGATTCGGACTTCCAGAATAACCAAGTACATTGACCTCAGCCTCAAGTACTGCTAGTGTTGTAGAAGTTGCTTTGAAGAATCGAGGAAGAGATCTTCGACAGATAGCAGAAGCAAAGGTGCGTAATTTGATCTCTGATAGAGCAACTGCTTCGATTGTTAATGCCACTCTTCGTATATACAATATTCCCGAAATAGTTGACAAACCAAAAGTTCGCAGAGCTGTTAATGTAATGTTAGAAGAAGACGATGCAGTACCATTAGTGGTGTGTTGTGGAATTGGTTACGATGGTCGAAAAGATGTGACTTTAACGCAAGAGAAAGTAGGTGAGAAACACTATCAATCAAAGAAAACTGAGTAACATGTTACAATAGTTTCACTCCCTGATGGAAAGTTCCTGGGTCATGTATCACCAACCAATGGTAAAGCCATAACTATTTCTAAATCTCTCGTCCAGTTTCTACAAGAAAAAAACATAATTGATCAAATTGAAGCCTTGGCATGTGATGTCACTAACACAAATGTTGAAGCAGAAGGGGGAATAAACCATTTGATTGAAGTAAGCATTGGACGTGCTTTACAATGGAATGTTTGCCTTCTGCATGGGAATGAGTTGCCATTAAGGCACATCATCATTGAGTTGGATGGTCCAACTGCAGGTGCAAACACTTTTGCTGGACCAATTGGCAAGTTACTACCAGATGTCTTGAATTATCCTGTCATCAAATACAAACGCTTTGGTCGTTCTCAACCTCTATCTAAAATGCCCAACAAAGTTTGGAAGGATTTGTCGACAGACCAGAAATACATGTAGAGAATTACATCAGCACTCATTTTCGGGCAATTCGATAAGGATTTAGAGCGTCTGAAGATTGGACCATGTAGCCACAGTAGGTGGCTCAAGACTGCATGCCGTATCTGTAGGCTGTATGCGAATACAACAAAATCATCAACAGTTTTAAACATTTTGACTAGATATATTGTGAATGTTTATGCTCCTATGTGGTTAACTGTGAAGTATTATGAGCTTGTGATTAATGGTCCTCAAAATCTGTTTTTCCTAATGCAAAGATCTGAGTTAATAAAAGATGGAGCTGCTAAGAAGATTGTACAGCGCTGCATTCAACGGAACGCTTTTTATGCCCATCCAGAAAATATTTTACTAGCTGAACTAGCCTCATCCTATAAGCCAGACCGCATAGATGCTGTTCAAACGATCATTGAAGCCAGAGCTAATCACCAAGATCAAGCTTTTTCTGTACGTCTTTACCAGATGTCTGAACTGAATTTTAAAGCATCAAAGTGGCAGCTAATGATTAAGTGGAGTGAATTTGACATACTATAACCTCCATTGATTAGGAACATGTCAAATAGTGAATTGTTGACCCTGGTAGCAGAATCTCTCATTGTACCAAAATTTAAATGTCACACCCAAATGGTTGAACGAGCTGTGAAGGAGGTTACAAAGGCCTGTCAGAAGGTAGTAGGTACGAAGCGACGCGATTCAACAATAAAAACATCAATGGTGAATTGCGCCAAATATCCAAACCAGGAATCAAAGACTATTTTATCCCAAAATAGTCATATTTTCCCTTAATAAAAAATATTTTTTTATTTTACTATAGACTATTTTGTATAACTTTTAATTCTGCATCTTTTATTGTTCTTGAAAAACATTGAAATTCCTGCTTAATATTGTTAAATTTAATTTGTAATAAAGTGAAAAATATTGTAGTTTTTTGTCAGAAATTTCAAATCAATGGAGGAGGGTCAAGATATGAACCGATTTTGATGAAATTTGGAATATAGCTATGTGTACTCCATTGAAGTAAATTAACAACTTTGGAGCAGACATTTTCAAAAAAAAGTTTTTTATGAACCGTCTTAATATTTATATAAATTTTTTTTTTTTTTCATAGTTCTCGATCTTCACAAGTATCAAATCAAAGTAAGTGTTGATTAATAAAATTTCATTAAAATAAATAAATTTTTAATTTATGTGCATAAAATTTGTCTACGATATAAATTTAAAACAAGGTGAGTGAAATGCCTGCAGATAAGTCAAATCTACTTTGACTAAAGCTAAGTAGATTTGACTTAACTGCAGGTATCATTGCACTTCCATAAATCGGCAAGTTTTTTGACTTGGAAAAAATATTTAACTGATAATATAGTTAAATTAAGAAAATTTAAAAGTTAGAGGTAAATATCCCTCAAGTTGTAATCACTTGTATCATGAGCAACTTTAAATAGAATACTGTGCAGTATGCCTGTCTAATAGGTTTCGGTGTTGTTATCAACTTTTAATAGTGTTGTTATCGACTTTAACTAAATCAACTAAATGTCAACTGTTCCAAAGTTAAAATTAGTCGACTAAGAAAAAATGAATAGTTGATTTAATTGATTGACTTTCAACATATTGACTAAAGGTCGATTTAGTCAAGTGAAAATCTTAAAATCCTTTTCTCTTTTCATTTGATTTAACTTTCCAATCTTTTTTTTTGTTTGTTCGTTTAAAAAAAAAGCCATGTACTATTATAACTAAAGATGTCACATATAGTGGTTTTGCTGAATACCAAATATTTGGTTAGACGCTCAGTCAAAGCACCAAAAATTTGGCTGCTTTTTGACCTGGTTAAATGAAGTGTACATCGTGGGTAGACTGTCAAATCAAAAATTGGTAGTTTTGACAAAATACAAGTCGAATGAAACATCTTTAAAGATGTTTAAAGATATTCAAATGTATTTTTATAACCAGAAAATAGCTTTTCTCTGGTTATAAAATTACATTTAACGTTAACTTATAAAACAGGTGTTTTATTTGGGCTTAAAGCTTTTAAATTAAAAAAAAATAAAAGCTAGAAATTTTTTCTTAAACACTTAACATTATAATTATATTTAAATGCAATTTAATAAAATAAAAAGTTTCAAATTGGAAAAAAACTTATATGGTTGATTTCTATAAACAAGGATTTTTGGGTTGACGTTTTTGCCAGAGTAACCACAATATGCTGTGGGTATTCTGGCAAAAAACTATAAGATGTGGGCATTTTTGTTAGTATATATTTTGGCTGTGTAACAGCAAACATTATTTGTTGACTGTTACATCTATTTGATTTAATTATAGACGCTTATTTATATATATATATATATATATATATATATATATATATATATATATATATATATATATATATATATATAAGCGTCTCATACTCTTCAAAGCACTCAAAAAGATTCAAAAATAACCAGTTCAGGTATTTGCATTTCAGAGGTAAATTTAGAAGTTGATATAGATAGATATTCACTGCAACCTGAAATTAAAACATTGTTAACTTTTATGGGAATGTCAATTATATGGTTGTGATAAATCCTTCTCTGCTTGACACCAATGAATCATCACAGGTGACTAGCAGCACCGGTGATGATTCAACTCTGTAACTCAACTCAAGCTCAACTTTGTAAGAAGAAGAAATGTAAAAATGAAAACTTTGAAAGTAATCTAGTAATCTCTACAAAAAAATGCACACATGAAGATGTGAGAAAGAATAATTTCAATTGCAAATGATATTAGTTTTTACATGAAACTGTTCACATAAAATGAACAGCAAACCCTTACAAGTTTCAGCAAACGTGAAACATTATCCAAACAGATCTTGCTAAAAAAATTTATTCTTTGCTGGTGGCAGTATACATAGTGAATATTTTAGGAAGTATGACATCTCTAATTATAACTATTACTTATTTAAAATTTCATCTAATTCATAGTCTTTTTTTCCTTTTTTTATTATAGTCTTTCTAGATTCGTTCTAGATTCATAAATCTTTCTAAATTCTTTCTAGATTCATTATATATATATATATATATATATATATATATATATATATATATATATATATATATATATATATATATATATATATATATATATATATATATATATATATATATATAAATTTACCTCTTCAAGGCCAAGTAGACCATTACAGACAAGGAGGCTTTTTAATTGCGGTTATAACCCATTCTCAACTCTATAATTCGGAAAAACAAACCTTGATAAAAAGGCTGTTGCGCGTAGAAGCAAGTTAATCGCGATACTTCCTGGGATGTGGTGGTGATTTAACTAAGAACCTCTTGCTTATGAAGTGAGTCTATCACTACACCATTAACGCATTAGCCTTATTTATATTATATATCATAAGGTTTTTGAATCTTTAATTAACAAACACTTAATCTCTCATCTTGGATATAACAACTTACTTTCTGATCATCAATATCGATTTCAATCTTCTCATTCTACAGCTGATTTGCTAATAGTAATAAACAATAGGTTTTATCGTGCATTAGATTAAGGTGGAGAGGTTAAGGCTATAGCTCTTGATATTTCTAAAGTTTTTTATAAAGTTTGGCATTCTGGTCTTCTGGTCTTTCATAAGCTGTCTTCTTATGGTGTATCTGATAACATCTATAAGATCATTGAATCCTTGCTTTCCAATCATAGTATAAAGGTTGTCCTCAATGGGTAGCACTCTTCTTCATATCCTGTAACTTCAGGTGTTCCTCAAGGTTGAAAAGGATCTCACATCTGCTTCAGCATGGGGCTCACAGTGGCTGGTGAACTTTAATTCAAACAAAAATCAATTTTTTTCAGCCCATGGTTACTGCAATAATTTAGATCTTTCATATATTTGTGAACTGCAATGTACTCGACGAGTCATCTACCCTTCATCTCCTAGAATAAAAATTTACTTCCGATCTTTTTTGGAAACCATATATCAAGTTTGTTGCAAAATTAGCATCTGCTGAGGTTGTATCTCTTTATCGTGCTCGATACTTTCTTAATCCATATTCAATTCTTTATCTCTATAAATCTCAAATCCATCTTTTTATTCAATACTGTTGCCATATCTGTGGTGGATCTTACAATGATATCCTTTCTCTTTTAGACAAGGTGCAAAAATACATTGTAAACATAGTTGGACCTGCTCTTGCAGCCAATATCCAACCACTATCACATTGTTGTAATGTTGCTTCTCTTTCTCTTTTCCACAAGTTCTATAACAGGCACTGCTCTAAAGAGTTAGCGTCTCTTGTGCCATCTACGAAAATTCATTCTCGTGTTACTGGTCATTCAATTAAGTCTCATCCTTTTTCTGTGACTATTCCTAAATGCTCCAAAAGTTCTTATTCGTCTAGTTTTTTTCCTTCGAACGTCAGTTCTTTGGAATTCGCATCTTTCATCTTGCTTTTCTGATTTATACAGTGATTATTTTTTTCTGGATATTTCAAAATATTTTCCATACAGTTTAGGTATTTTTTTTTTGTAATATATTTGTTTTTTAAGGTTTTTCACTCATCACTCTTACAAAAATTATTAGAAGTTCGGAAAAAAAATTTGAAACAATTTATCTATAAGCTAAGTTGTTTCAAATTCACATTAGAGGAAAATATTTTTTTTAAATATGATCTGATTTATGTTTATATAATTTGCAGTCGTCTGCCAATCGTTATATTGCTCTATAAACTTCATCTTTTCATTTCCAGTAACTCTAATAGTGGTTGACTATTAGAGTTACTGGAAATGAAATTTCACAACACTATTAGAGTTACTATTAACAGTAACTCTAATAGTGGTTGCTTGCAGCCTTGTTGGAAGCGAAAGTGTTGAAAAAAAAATTTCCGATGCTCTGTAATAAGACCGGACTTTTGGAAGTACTTCAATAACTACATAAAAAAAAAAGGAAAACAATTATATTTATTTAAACAATCGTTTATGTATTTCATTAATTTTTTTTTTCTTTTGTAGACTCGATACTTTTGATTTTCATGAATATTAGGTCTACCAGAAAAATTCTGTCCGTTTCTATAAAAGCAATTTTCGATGCGTTACCACTTGTTTATATGACGCATGTTCGGCTCTTTATTTTTATAGTTTAAAGTATTCATATAGACGTTGCAAATTAAATCAAACAATGTCATTTTACGTTTGTCTTTTTTATATTAAGTGATAGTGTAAACATGACTACTGAAAAAGTTTATTAACGCCACTGTATTTTATACGAATTTCAACAAGGAAGAAATGCTACACATGTAGAAATTTATTGAAAGTGTTTGATGAAGTTACTGTTTCTGACATGTAGAAGATGGTTCCAAACATATCAAACCGGTGATTTCAACCTTTCTAATTGGTCACACTCTAGGCGTCCATCTTCGATTGACAACAACATTATTAAGAACATGTTGTAACAAGATCCTTTTCTAACAACATCCAAGATTGCAGGAACACTTATATCAGCTCAGCTAACTGTTTCGGTCCATATTCGAAATATAGATTTAGTATGAAATATTCAAAATGGGTGCAATATGAATTTTCAGAAGAATTTGGATGATCGAATCGTCATATGCACATATCTACTTGCCATTTTTTAACAGTATGATAACTGGCGATGGAAGTTGATTACTTACAAAAACATCGTATCAAAAAGGGCATTTTGTGACCAAACCAAACGCAAAGCTTAATTCGTAAAAGTATTGTCAGCAATTATTTAACTTTTAAGACAAAAATCAAAAAAAAAAAAGTCCGTTGATGTTTAATAGAAAGGACATTATACCGCATCGCTAAGCTGCATGCTGCTTTGGGAACTTGTCAATAATTGCAGAACTAGGCTGGAAACTTATGTTGCATCTACCATATTCTCCGGACTTAGCGCCCTCCAACCATCGCTTGTTTTTGTCCTTACAAAATTTCTTGATTTGAAAGAAATTCGAAAACAAAGAAGATCAAACTAGCACTTGGTTTAATTTTTTGAATTAAAGAATAAAACGTTTTTCAAAAATGGAGTATACAAATTACCAACTAGATGGCAAGATGTCATTGAAAATAATGGCATTTATATTAATCAATAAAGTTTATAGGTGATATCAAAAAGTAGTATTTTATTTGTTCCGAAAACGAACAGAATTTTCAGGTAGACCTAATACATTTCATACATGGTCACTCCAAGCTGGCTCGGGGCCCTGGGGCAAAGTTAAGTTGTGAAGCTCCAAAATCAAAATGTTTTCTATACAATCACATTGTAAATTGATTGTAAAAACTTTGATATATAGTAAGTATTTACGGCAGTTGGTTCTCTCATATTGTTTTATTCCATTAACATTTAAATGATACAATGTTTTGAAATAGAAAGCGAAAATAAATTATTTTATATTTATGACAATTTGTTAAAAAAAAAAAAAATATTACCATATTTCGACTAAATCGACTTTTAGTAGATCTTTAAAATGTAATAGTCGATTTTAGTCGATTTCGGTCGACTTTAGTAAATATATTAGTCAATTTAGTCAACAATCGAATTACTTAATTGTCATAACACTAATATTGATAATAAAACATCAACTATAAAGTGGATTAAATAAAAGTATATGCAATAAAGTGGATTACATAAAAGTATATGCAATATCGGATCCGAGTCAGAGTAAATAATCCACGAGAGGGTAAGAATATTGGTTTTTTTCTTATGGGTATCAGAAAGTGATTAGCGATGATGACAATGATGATAATGATGATGATGATGATGATGATGATGATGATGATAATGATGATAATGATGATAATGATGATGATGATGATGATGATGATGATGATGATAATGATGATGATGATGATAATGATGATGATGATGATGATGATGATGATGATGATGATGATGATGATGATGATGATGATGATGATGATGATGATGATAGTTCAACGTCTAAATGGTTAAAGCAGGGTTGTTTTTTTTAATTTAGATATGTTATTTAATCAGGATGATTGGATAAAAGCATGCGAAAACTTAGACCCTAAATTTCCAGAAGAGAAGGCAATTTCCGATGAGGTATTAAAAAAATATGTCTCTGATAATGTCTGGAAAGAAAGTAGTAAACAGAAAGAAAAAAAGATAAAAAAAAACCAACATGTTGGAATACCTATAAAAGAGATATCGGTTGTAGAAGAAAGTTCTAAACAAAATCCAGAAGTTTTTCGCAATAAACAAAGCAAAGATCCTAACTTATTTTCTTCAAAAGGAAAGGACGCACGATTGTTTTTAAAGAAACTTTGCGTTCCATCGGAAAATACATTGAAAATAAAAACAAATAAAAATGCGTCTAAAAGAAATTTTGACGATAGTCAAAATGATCCATCTGACTTCAAATGTTGTAAATGTCAAGAAATGTTTACAACTGTTGCTCTGCTTCAATGTCACACAGACTTGTGTCTTTCTGAATGACACACAGACTTGTGTCTTTCTGAATGACACACAGACTTGTGTCTTTCTGAATGACACACAGACTTGTGTCTTTCTGAATGACACACAGACTTGTGTCTTTCTGAATGACACACAGACTTGTGTCTTTCTGAATGTCACACAGACTTGTGTCTTTCTGATGCAAAATAGTGTAAAAATATTTACATTTATCGTTCTGTTTCAACATCACCCAGAAAAAAAATTTTCGAGTGCCGTACGCAAAAAAAAAGTAAAATTATTTCAAATCTTCATATAAAGTGAAAAAGATTGAAAATTTTCAAAAAGTCTTAACTATTAATATTAAGCACTTTTATGCGTGGTTGCGACGCATAATCATTTATATGGAAAGTTTTAATTTTATTAATTAAAAAACTCTATAATGGAATACTTCTATTTTAAAAGTAAATTTAAGGCTTATCTATAGCGCGAACTAAGTGCGCACATACATATTAGTATAAATGCGGATTGCGCTCACTAATGTCAATTCAAATTAAAAAGATCAGGAAATATTCTCAATTATGTTGTTACTCGTGTACTTGTTACTAGAAAAAAAAAATTATAAATAAATGTATTACTCAACACATCAATCATTGAATCGTTTAAAACATTGTTATTACATTGGAAGCATTTAAATTTTAATTATAACAAAAACCAACGTTATGATAAATTTCTAAGGAATTACGGTCTAATTTTCAATCTAATACGGTCTAATTTTCAATCTAAAGCTAATTTTCAATCTTTTCCGCACGTCATTTGGAGAGAGTACCATAAAACGGGGTGACTGATGTTTTTTTTCATCTTTGTTTATAACATTTTTTTCTGATTTTTTTTTTTTTTGCAGATGTAACATACTTTTCCTTTATAGAATTTTATTAAATTTTTTTTTGTTTTTTTGGTCGTACTAGTTTGTTTTTTTTTAAGTAAAAATTTTATCAGTCACACCACTTCGTTGGTGTGATTTTAATAATCTAATAATTCCTTACGGCTTATTAATTTAACCCTCTTCACAAGTGTCATTAATGTTTTGAAGTTTTACTAAATTAGGAAAAAAAAGCAACAATTTAATGTCAATATGCTTAACATAGCAATATAATATATTATAACATGTATATAATATAAAGGCCAATGTTTAAATTACTAGATAGTAATGTCCTATCTGCTGATAGCATATCTGATACACCTAGTATATTTATACCAGCACATTTTATCAACATTTTTTATCAAAAATATTAATAAAATGTGCTGGTATAATTATGCTAGATATATGGATCCTTCAACTTTCTTTAGGAACCTCGTACTTTAAGTCTTGAAAAAACCTCAACAACCTGTCTAATGTAATTCAAGGTCGCACGTTTCCTGGTTTTTCCTGGGTAGACTAGGACATGCTAACTCCCTGTTTTAAAAAAAAAACTGTTTACTTCATGTCCTTCTTGATCAGACTTGTTTAAATCAACATCTGTCATGCCATTACTTTAGTTGGGAGAACCTCCTCAATGCCTTCTGATTCAGACAACATCCTTTGAAATTGGTTTTGATTTTTTGCCTTCTATTTGTAGGTTCTTTGATTTTTTTGTTATAATATTTGTCCATCAATAACGTCATCGTCTGTGATTAATTTGCTTGGTATAATTTTTTTGCCTTTTTTTCTTTTGGTTTTTCCTGCTGCACTTTTGCCACTACTTCTTAAGGATATTTATTACACCTTCAGAAATAATTTCTTATTCGGTTTCACCTTCATAATCTTTGTTGACATCCGGAAGCCGTTTTAATACTTTTTCTCGATTCAATTGATATATGCCTGAAGCTTGGAATTCGGCTGTTAAGTTCTCTGCTTTCAGAGTATTTTACAACTTTGTCAAAAGTATTGGGAAATATTTTTTTGGAATTGAATCCTTGATTCTTGATACTCTTTGCTATGTTTTTAAACCTTCCATTTGAATTTCAACAATCTGAAAATAGCAATATCAAGAGATTGCAGCAGATGTGTGACATTTGGGATTAAACTTGCTTTAATTATTAAAATTGCTTTGACGACATTCGGTGAAAAAGGTGAAGTTATATTATCTCCGTTAACAACCTTTGTTCCTGTTAGAGATGCTGTTTCAGGAATATAAATTTCTATGAACCAAAGTTCAAATGTTCTAGAATCAAACCAACCAAAACTGTGGAAAATACTTCCAAGTGGGCCGCCACAAGTCCACTTTATGTTACAGTTTGCAGCTCTATAAATAACCATGGGGAAATAATCTAACCAGCTGTTCAGTACATAGTATTAACAGCTCTTTTAACGTTTACAAGTTATTGTTTTAGAGCCTGGGCTATCGCTCACATTCGTCTCATTATTGTTGAGTATATGAGTACTAAGAATGTTTTTCAGTTTAATGGATAATGCATCATTATATAAACAAACTGAATTTTGATCAATTTTCATCTTTTTGAGCATGACTTGTGAGGCAAAGTACAAGTTATAATACAGGTTTTTTGAGACAAACCTGATTGCACAGAGAAACAAAACAGATTATAAGGAGAAAGCTTGAATAATTTTAATGATAGAGGATTAGTGCTCTGAATATTAGAGGCGATAAAAAAAAATACAGAAGGAAAGCGGTTCTTGTTTGTGACGTCTGAAACGGCTTTCAAATCATCTTCTGATTGGCAGATTGGAATAGGAGTATGCATGAATTAACCAAGAAAAACATGGAAATACGACTTTTGAAATACTAAATATGACTTTTGAAATACTACTTTTCAAAAAACAACATCTAGGATCTTCACATTTCACAATTTGCGTGATATATTTAATGGTGCGCACATGTGAGGCAAACCATTCTTGATCATTCGATAAGAAATGACAAGCATCGAGCTCCATCTTTCCGTGTGGAGATGTACTCGGCCACCGTTGAAAACTGATCAATCATTAGACCTAAAAAGACCGAGGCACATCTTTCCAACGAAATCAAAGTTCTGTTTCTCCAAAAGAAGATCCAATGCCCTACCTTAAATTAAAAAATAAGGTAATACCAATTTCTAAAACTTTAGCGTATTGTAGATTTTCATCTGGTCCACCATCAACACTGAAGACAACCACTAGCGCTAACCACTGGCAACTAATTTAGTCAAAGGGTCCTTTGTAATGAAATCGAACTCTGGCAGAGTCAAAATTCGTTAAAGTCTAACCCGTAAGTATACGCTGTCAATGATGAATGTTTTCCAGATCTAACAGCAACATAAGTGGGACCGGAATTGGAAACAGCATCAGTTTTTCCAAGCCCATTTGGTTTGATTTCAATCCCTGTGTTTATCTACAGGATGAGCAAGTGCTCTGTGGCGATGATGCAATCATGATCGGGAAAAGAAACTCGATATTCCATATACATCAATATTTTTTTTTGTAGTTATGATTCCGATTGGAATCCGAGTTTTATTGTCTTGACTTATAAAGCACACATCCTTAGGGCCTGAAAAATAGCAAACCTCTTCCACGTTATTTATAGTTGCTGTACGAAATGGACCATCCACGTGACTTGAATGGAGATTGTGTAAGACTCGTTTCAATTTGACTGGAACCGTATCTTCATTTAAACGATTTGTTCCTTTATGGCATTAACTGAGTATATAAAGGACTTCTGCTAAGATGGTAGCCTCTCTTTTCGAGCTCGTTAGCTCGAAAGTACCTTCCAAGCTCATCCAACGATTTGAGGCTCTTTATAAAGTAAAAAAATAAGTTTAAAGACTAAAAACTTTGATGCGATAATAATACCTGATTCATGTCAATATAGTCCAATATAATTTTTTATCAGCTAAAGTTGTACTCTTACCCTATATCAGTCATATTACTTCTTATCGTGAGTAGGTGAGTTCAGAAAGTTGAATGATGACGCACAGTTGCTAAGATTGTTCTACTTCAATAGTAGGACGAACAATTCCGTCACGTGCTTTAAGAACTTATTTTTACTTCCGGGTGGTCTGCGAACAAATCAAGTATCAAAAAGAACTATAAAAATTAGTTATTATTAATTTTCTAAAATATTATTATTGTATCTTATTGTTATATGATGCGATAATAAAAACTGATTTATGACATTTTTCTTTTCAGCCCTCAAGTTTTGTTTTAACTTCATATTGTCAATCAACTTTTTTATATTTTTCATGAGCTTCTGAACACTGGCCTTTTTTTTTAAGGTTTCTTCTTCAGCATCGGTCCATTGGCCATTTCTTTTTCTGTTCTTCATAGCAACTATTTCTTGATTCAAAACGACAATCTTTGCTTTGACTATGACTTGAACATGAGCCTTGGCCTTCTTTGTCATACTTTGAACTGTCCTAGGGTTGTTGTGTCGAGAGGCATCTGTCGTATTATCAATAACATCTATCGGCTTAATAAATTGATCTGAATTAGGCTGAGACTCTAAGAAGTAAGGGCTGACTAACAGATTAGTTGGTTGTTTGTTGGGCGTAAAATGACTCTTAAGAACCTTTTTGTTTCAAGAACCATTAAGGTATACTTTTGGATTAATGTCTTTATTTGGTCCTCCAAATTTTGCTTTTCTTTAATCTCATTCCATATTTTTATAGACATCTTTTTGATAATCTGCTTTTTTTTTTTTTTTTAAACGGATAACAACAACAACAACAACAAAATATTTATTTTCTATTTCAAAATTTACATATAATCATATAATAACAATAATAATAATAATAGTATCTATAATAACACAAACAATATAATTATAGTAAAATATAACTAATAAGAATAAATATAAATAATTGTTTGAAAAGGAAGGTGTCACTCAAACAGAAGCCTGATCAAAGGAGTGACACCAAATAATTATAACAATAATTAAAAAATAATAATATTGTCTATAACGATACAAACAATATAATTATAATAAAATATAACTAATAAGTATAAATATAAATATAAATAATTATTTGAAAAGGAAGGTGTCACTCAAACAGAAGCCTGATCAAAGGAGTGACACCAAATAACTATTACAATACTAATTAAAAATAATAATATTATCTATAATAATATAAATAATATGATAACACGAGTGTCACTCATGATCAAAATGAGTGACACCAATTAATTATAACAATTAGTATAATAATAAAATAATAATAAAAATACCAAATATGAACCAAAAATCGCTAAGAAAATAAA